ATGGGCATGGCACGGTTTCTGGGACAAGGTACACTGCTCTAGCACTTAGTAGTGAGAGACACCTGGGCCAGCATGGCTATCTTGTAGAACGCTGGCCTGAGGCTCTATGTGTGAAGTCAGCGAGGTGATATTTGATGGGGTTTGGGGGACAATGGCCCAGGCCTTGGGAGGGGGATTGACCATTGACCTGGGATGGAGACGACACAGAGGTGGCCCAGGATGAAACTGGGCGTTGAATAGAAAGTAGACCTGATAGGTGCACAGAGAGCCAAGAGACAGTGGCTGGAAGGAGGGAGCCACACTAGACACTCTGAAAAGGCAGACTGCAGGCTGGGGGTGTGGCCCGATGGCTGAGAGTGCTTGCTGCAGGCTGGGGGTGTGGCCCGATGGCTGAGAGTGCTTGCTGCTTTCCAGAGGGATCAGTTCAGTCCCTATGCATCCAGGTCAGGCTGCCCACAGCTACGGTAGCTACTGCTTCAGGGGACCTGAGGCCCTCTTACCAACACTCCCAAATCAGATTTTAAAAATAAAGCCTATCTTAAAGATAAAAATCAGATCTAAAGGCTCCTCAGCCACAACACCCCAGCTTTCAGTGGTCTCTCTTTAGCTGGAGAAAGCTTAGGCTCTAATTTTCGGTCACCTATCTGGGCAGTCAAAGAACTTAATTTTTATAGATTGGATTTCTTCACAGACCACCAGGCCCGCTGTGAGAGCACAGGAACTGTTCCTGGTAGGAATGGGCTGTTCCTAAGTCAAGTGCCTCCTTTCCTGCAAGCTGAGATGTCATTTCTGCCTGAGGCAGCTGTGACTCACTGCTCTCGGTGGCCATCCCACACACATGTAGGAGTTCTTGATGGACAGCCCTACGGTCCACCACTGCACACAATCTCATGACGGACAGACCAGTCCACACCCGTGATGCCAACGGTCAGCAGGAGAAGACCACCCACAGGACAAAGAAGGAAAAGTGGGAGCAAGGGCAGGGCGTGGCTGCCAAGCACGACAGCTGGGCTCAGGAAGTAGATGCCCCACTCGGCAGCATCCTAAGGAACAGCCCATGCAGGGGCCCATGGCCAGGGTCCCTGCGCTAGAGGCAGTCACATGGCCAGGCACAGTTGGGATGGCCACGGAGGTCCGTGCTGACTCTTGGCTGCCAGCCTCCCATGCCCTCCCACAAGCTCTAAAGATGGCCCCTGAGTTGGCAGATGCTGATGGGCTGGCAACAGGCTAACTCTGGCCAAGGTGAGCAGCAATCCCAGGATCCAAGCAACAGCGTTTTCACTGCAGATGAGAGGAGGGCAGAATGTGGCTGGAGGCGCTGGGCTTCCTGACTCCATAAAAACAAATTGCTGACAGTTCTGCATAATTAACAGCATGTGGTAATTGGAGCTTGAATAGCACAGGATGCTACGCTGAGGGACTGTGGCTTGCAAAAATGGCAGCATGTGAGCACATGCAGCATGTGTGAACAGACATACTGTGCACACAACTGTATACATACATCTGCATTCATGTATGCACAAAAGCCTTGGGAACTGGCTGCTCACTGTGGGATAACCCCAGAGGCTACAGGGGAAAGCTATAGAACCTGAGAGTCACCAGTCATCAGTCTGATCTGGGAGGCGCAGTAGCCACATAGTGGGGATTGATGAGTTAGAAGAGGAGAGGACTTGGTCCCCAGAAAGACCCAGCACACTGCTATTCTGGACCTGGCATCACCTTGCTTCTGGTTTCTTTGTCTCCCCCATCTTCTAACCACTGGGTCTCTTTTATTTCCAAGCCCATGGCAGGGCTGGCCTTTGGCAAGATAGACCCCAGCTTGTCCTACCCATCTTGGGGAAGCCCATGTACCCCTCCTCCCTGTACGTTTGATGCCTGGCTAGGTAGCTCTCAACTCCTGTAACGGGCCATGTGTCCCACACAGCACTCTCCTGGAATGATCATAGCCATCTCACTATCCTATCCCAGGGTGAGCTCCAGGAGCTGGGACAGATGCTAGTTGCTGACTCTCAAGGCTCAACAGAGCCCAGAAGTCTGCACAGCTCACTCCTCCTCCTCACTCAGGGCTAGGCCCAAATGGCCCCTCCTCAAAGCATTCCCATTAACCCCATAATGTAGACCCCGTAGCATCCAGCACTCTGGAATGTCTGTGTATTTGCACTGCCCAAGCCCAGTTACTCCCATAAAAAGCAAATTCAGAGAGCAAGCCAAGCCTGCTTTCCTTCAGGGCCAGCAACAGCCGCAATGGTGGTGGTGACCATGCTGAACTTTCTATGGGAGGACTTGGCAGAGGCTGGCATTAGAACGAGTGGTCATTCTTAGGGGTGATTTGATGCACACTTCTCTGCCCATCAGAAGCTCCCTAAATCTAGAAAGCCTCAGCCCAAATGTCCCTTCCCTGGGGAGGTGCAAAGACACACCCTTTACCACACTGACTATTTGCAGCAGTTCCAGACAGACAGGGAAGGCCTGACCTCAATGTCTAAGACCCAGGGACATGGAGGTGTGAGCATGCTGTGTGCCAACCAGGAGCTGGACACCAGAACCTAGGACACCGAGTAGGGTAGGCAAGCTCACAACCACAGGCATGGCCTGTCCTCTTGAGACAGGAAGTTCAAAGTCAAGGCCTCAGGGCTGGTGCCAGGTACACCTGGGCTTCTCAGAACTGGAATGGCAGCCTCCTCCACTTGGGAGGGGCTTGCTGAGCGTGGTCCTGGAAGACAGCCGCTGCCAACCGTGAAAGCGATTTAAGACTCTGGAGCGGTGTGAAGCCAGCAGCTTAGCCCCCATCATGTGCAGTCTTCGATTCCCTGGGACACCCTCATGCATAGCCAAGAAAATTCCGCATGTTTATGCGTGACACCACCAGAATAAAGCAAGCTGAGTCGCTAGAGCACTGGGCTCCCAGCCGCAGTAAGTGGACTCCTTGTCGAAACCACAAAGAGAAAAATCTCAGCTGTCTGGGTCACTCTAGATGAGGAATGGAAGTGGGGGGGCTTGCCCTAGTGCTCACCAAGACAGCAAAGTCCCTGGGGGATTCTGTATCCTGAAAACCAATGTCTGAGGACCGTATACTGATGCCCTGGTCATTACCCTTCTGCCACCTCCACTGGGCATGGCATTCCTCTTCTGAGACAGGCACAGGGGAACTGGAGCCATTATGTCTACGCTCCCACCCAAGCTGCTGCTATCATCCTGTTACAAGGGTGGAGAGCCACCAACCTGCAACCTGAAGCTCCGCTCGCAGTGTGCAGCATTCCCAGGGACTGCCTTCCTTTGCACAGCTGCTGCTCCTGCGGCTTTTTTTTCCTGCTGGAGCTGGCCTCCTCTTGGATTTGAACCTCCCTGGCTTTGCTCTGAGCAAACACAGGCATTTCCCCTGAGTCCTGACAGCGAGGCATCCTGACTTCAGCAACCCAGGGAAGGCCAGACTGCAGCAGCCACAGTCAGTCCTCTGGCCCTCGTGGATGGGAGCCAAGAAAGGAAGTGTCACCCTGTTGGCCCTGTATCATGATAAACAGCTCCACTGAAGAAATACAACAGGGCCCTGGGCCTGGACACTAGGCCTCCCAGGGCCAGGCCGCAGTAAGGAAGGGCAGGTGGTTCCATCTTTCTTCTTCTCTTAGCCCTCACTGCCCAGTAAGTGAAGGCGGCCAGAGCGACAGAGACACCTCACTCTGCCCCTCTGGTCTTTACTAGACACCTGCTGTCCTGAGGCCTGCTGCACTGCAAGGAACAGAAACCCCGATAGCTGGTGTAATCCAGGACACGCGGACTGGTCCGTGTTCCTGGGAGGCCTATGGACACAGGTGTCAGGGCAGGCTGGATCCAAGAGCGCATAAGTGTCACCAAGCCTTGTCTCTCACATGGTATTCCCATGCAGAGGGGACAAGGTTGCCGTCCCTTATCTCAGCTTCTAACAACGGGAAAGCCCCGAAGCAGAAGGAGAGCCTCTAAAGTTTCCCACAGGATACCCCATGGTATAATGATACTTGAAGCTATATAGGGAAAACAATATATTTATTTACCAGAGAGAGAGAAAGAGTCGCACAGACCAGGAGTTAGAAGCGTGGCTGGCTTCCAGGCGAAAAGGGAAGCCCCTTTTCCTTTTACTTCCTTTTATCTCTACCTTTACCCCGCCCTGTTGGGCGGATAGCTTTGTGGGGTTCACTCCTACACCATGGGAAGCCCACAGACACTACAAAGTGAGGACCTCAAGACAGTGCCTTACCCTTGGCAGTGGGTTCCTTGTCCAGGCCCTAGAAGAAGCAGGTATCTCAAACAGGCTCATGCAGAGAACTGTAATAGAGGACTTTGGCAGGGGACAGGAAGGTTAGAAAGGTCCAGAAGGGTCAGTGGCCATAGGCACTTCCAGGCAAAGCTCTGAGGGGAACCTAGAAAGATAGTTTTCTGACAAGCAGAGGAGTCAAGGGTCAACACCATCTCATCTCACTCTCCCCATCCCCCTTAGGAGCACCTCTCACAGATGGAAGCCACCAGAGAGAATGACGCCGCTTTCTGGAGCATCTTACCGTGGCCAGCCTCCACAGAGTCATGAGAGTGGACCCAGAGGCCAAACGACAGTGGTGGGGACAGTATCGAACAAAGCCCCGTGGGTGGTAATAACTAGCCAGGCTGGCAGGGATGGGGGGGGGACACCTGTAATAGTGGTGGCTGCAGTGATGACGATGATGATGACTGTAGTGATGGGTTAGTGGCAGCGTAGTCATAGTGATGGTGACAGTACTAACGATACCCATGTTTGTGTGGGTGGTGGTAACCATGGTGATGGCTGTAACAATGGCAATGTTGTTGTTGGTAACTATGGTGACGGGAGTGGTGATGATAGTAGTGGCAATGTAGCTATGGGTCAGGTGGGTGGGTGGTAACCATGGTGATGGTGATAACGGTTATCATAGTCAGTCATATGCTGGGCAGAAACCAAGTTGATGGGGTGGTGGTGGCAATCACAGAGATGCTGCTAACTGCAGTAATGGTGCTCCTGTGTTAGTGGTTTTCATTGGGATTGGGTATTGTTTCCTTCCAGTCCTCAAACGGGACCAACTGTGAGCTTTCCTGTCCTCAGAGGTCACCAAGTCTGCTCCCCAGTGGCTGCTCTAAGTCAGCCAAAACAGCTCCTAGGACAGGCTTCATTCAGTCAGGTGCATGATGAGGTCACAAATCCTTTCACACTTGGGCTGGAGATGGTCTCCTGGTGAAGCTCCTACTGTGCTGCATGAGGACCGGAAATGAGATTCCCAGGACCTGTGTGAAGACAGACAAAATGGGACCTCTCTGTACTCCCTGGGTTCCTGCAGGGGATGGGAGGCAGAAACAGGAAAATCCCTGAAAGCTCTTGGATCAGTGAGCCTGTGCTAAAAAATAAGAGATCCTGTCTTACACAAGGTAAAAAGCCATCACTGGGTCACCTGCACTTACACACATGAACACGCGTGTGTGAGTGAGAGCAAACACACAGAGAGAAAGAGAGACAGAGAGAGAGACAGAGAGAGAGACAGAAAGAGAGAGAGAGAGAGACAGAGAGAGAGACAGAGAGAGAGAGAGAGACAGAGAGAGAGATTAAAAAATAAACTCCACAGACCAGGTCGACACCTCTGTCCACTGTAAATACTCCCAGCAGGCGAGCAGCAGGAGGGGCAGAGAGGAAAGCCTCTAGGGAAAGATGGCCGGGCTGCCATGCTAATGAGTACCCCACTCTCTCCCAAAACCATCCCTTTCACTGCCTCTCCAAGCTGTAATCTGCAGGCTGGTTAATTAGAGTCAGATTCTCTGGACCCAAACAGTGTTTACTGTCACATGTGGGCACTTAGGAGACAGAGGAAAATACCCCCTCAACCCTTGAGAGAGAAGACAGCCATGGAAGCAGAAGGGACCTTGGGTTCCTGGGGCCTGGATGTTACATGAACTTTGGGGACAGGGCAAGAAGAGCTAAGATGCAGAGTGACCCTATGGGAGTCCCCACAATTGGACCCTCAGTTTCTCCAAACTCTAAGGAGATACTCTGGCTGCCCATCTGGGGCTGTGAATGAGGAACAGAGTGGCATTGTTGCTGCAAGCATGCTCCAGACTCAGGTGACCTCTCTACCCTCTCCTTGACCCCATCTTCCCTGAAAGCCACTCAGCATCCTTGGTCCAGTGCCCTGGAGAACCCAAGGTCTGTACTGACACTGGGCCTACAGCATATCAAAGCCAAGGACGCTCACAGATTCATGCAGAGCCCAGGCTTAAGGTCCCACAAGCAAATAACTCAGCTATAAGATCACATGGAACCTGGGTCATTCACTGCTAAGGAAAGGGGAACTGGGAAGGTCCATTGAGTTCCTTCGTATCTGATTGCTCCTAAAAGCAGGGGTCACCCTGTGAATCTGGGCTGAGCAGCCTTATGGCTAGAACTCTGGCTGAGAGACATGGGGTCCGGTGGCCTAGGAGGGACAGGATGCTTTCCTGAGAGGAAACGCATTAACCTTGGCCTGGGCATGTAGGCCGTGGCTGTAGAGTCGGGGCATGTGTTGATAGTTCATCTCCGTGGTCGACTTGACTGAATTTGGTACATTTCTGGATTTGTCTGTGAAGGGGGTTCTAGAGGAATTTGAATTTGAGGGCTGGAGACTCCGATGGAATAGAAGGAGCAGAGAGCAGAGAGCTAGCTAGCATCCTCCCCTGCTCTGTCACGGTTTCCCACCACCATGGCCCTGCACCCCATCCTCCACACGTTCCCACAACAATGTCTCTGCAACCCCATCCTCCACACGTTCCCACCATAATATGTCTTTATTGCTCCCCTGCTCTGCCATGCTTTCCCACCATAAGTCTTGGCCCGATGAAATTATGATTGCTTCTGGTGGCTATTCGGTTACAAAAACTAACCCAACTGGCAAGCTCTCAGTAGCACATAGTGTCTGTGTCTCATGTTGGTCAGAATCCAGGACACAAACTCTAGATGGGATGAACCTGGCTCAGGACTCTGCTAAGGTCACTTACCTCTGAGTCTCCATCTTCTCTGAAAATAGGCATGTTATTCTAACCCAGGTGACTTTGGAAACCTTGCCACCCACCCCTTACTCCAATTGACCAGCAAAACAACTGTCTCCCACCACCTCCAACCTGCTGATAGTCTCAGCAATGATCCTAAATCCACCCTGGACCTCAGGTTCCTCCCATAATCATTAGGCTCTTGATCAATATGGGGTCCATGTCCTGTGAGACTAGGAGACAGGGGAGAGAGTGGTTTTCCAGGGCCCCATGAGAGGCTACTGATCCTGGCTCTTGTAGGCTCCCACGGGATACCTCAGGTCTGGACCTGAGAAAATAGGGAGACACCAGTCTGAACACTGAAGTGAGGGGCTGAGGGACATTGGCATCACCAGAACACCTGGTCATCCACACCCCTCCCTCTGCCCACAGGCGAGCTAAGGGCCCTCCTCTGGGGTCTCAGTAGCCTGCACCTTGGGAACCGTGGAAAAGCCATTCATGGGGTGACACTGGGCGGTGTTGGTTAGGTGAGTGGAGCGCACCACACTTGGGCACTGGAACTCCTCCAAGGACTTCTGGCACCAACTGTGCTGTAAAGAAAGAGTTAACCTCTTCCTCAGCAAGCAGGAAGTGGGGACAACCATACAGAGTCCAGAGTCCCCAGTCTGGAGGCAGAAGGGCAGGGTGAGGTCCCTGAGCCCTGTGATAGTAGGGCCTGTTTTCCAATCAAGAATATGGAAATGAGTCCCTTTAGGTCAGGGTGAGAGAGAACACACTTAGGGAGCAGAAATTACAAAACTCTGAATAATCGCCTGTTAAAAGCACTTTAAATCCCCGGGTGAGAGGCCCCTTCTGTTTAATAGATCCTTGGGTCATGGAGAGGACGCAGGCTGCAGCAGGGGGCTCTGGCCTTCCTCCCCTGAGCGAATGCCCTCCAGCTCACATCAGACTAAAGGGGTGCAGAGCAGCCAGGGTCAAATGGCCCAGGAGCCATGCTGCCCTACCAGCCTGTCCCCAGCTCTAGCCTGTCCCAGAGCGATGGCGCCCTGGGCAGATGGTACATTTAGAAGACTTGATGTCACTCCTGCATCTATCTCCCCTCAGGTAACTAACAAATACCCTGAGATCCATACCCATAGTCACTATTGCATGTGTCTCTCAGGCACTGTGCTCTCTGGGACAAGGCTGGTGACCTTCTCTGGAAACTGAGTGCCCACAGCAGCTAATGGGATGCTAAAAGCTTGAATCAAAGAGAATTGATTTCTGATTTATTATTGTGATTGATAAGCCCCATGATAATGTTGAAGGAAAGGCTTAGAAATGCAAGCCAAGATCTGGGGAAATGCATCATGAATTGAGAGTTAGAAATAAAGGTAAAAAAGGCCTCCAGTTAGAGAGTCAGCAGAACAGGAGGGAGTCAGTCCTGAGCAAACAGTAGGCAGTGATTTCCTGAGTATGAGTGTGTGTCCACAAATGCCTTCTCCATGCTGATCACCTGTTTACTTCCAGGACCACGGGTTCTCGCTCAGAAACAGGCCACAAAGACACCTGGGAATGGTCAGAAGTGGAGACTGTGTCTTTTTATTTTGGCAAACTGTCCCCTTGCCCCATCTTTCCATCTTGGTCTAGGTCAGAAAGTACTATTGTTTAGTATACAATAGTACTCAGGAAATAATTGGTGGATGATAGATGAGGGAATGGATGCATGAGTAAGTAAGTTGGTATGTGGGCGGGAAGAGAGATGAGTGGGTAGTTTGGTGGATGAGAGGATTGGTAGGTAGATAAATGGGTGGATAGATGTATTAATGGAAGGGAGGGAGGGAGGGAGGGAAGGAGGGAGGTAAGGAAGGGAGGGAGGGAAGGGAGGGAGGGAGGGAGGGAGGGAGGGAGGGAGGGAGGGAGGGAGGGAGGGAGGGAAGGGAGGGAGGGAGGGAGGGAGGGAAGGAGGGAGGGAGGGAGGGAGGGAAGAGGAGATCCCAGGTCTTCTCTTCCACCAACGAGACCAGGGGACCAGCAGGTCCAGGGGACCAGGTAAAACAGACCTTGTGTCCAGGCCTGCATTCCAGTGCCTGGGGATCACCTGGGGACTGCCACAGAGATTCCCATCCCGGAGGGAGCCAAGCACCCCAGATCCCAGGTCTTCTCTTTCACCAAAGGGACCAGGAGACCAGATGGGAGACTATGCACCCCAGATTCCTGGGCTTCTTCTCCACCCACCGGACCAGAATTAGGATGGTATTGGACTTGCTTGCACCCACTGACAGGGAACTCTGATCTCCTAACCACCAGACCAGTAAGGGGCTCTTTCTGCACCCACTAGAAGAAGTGATGGGAAAGAGACAATACAAAAACACATTCAGCAACAGAAAAACAAATATGACACCACCAGATTCTAGAGCCACCACACCAGCAAGACTCCAACATTCCAATGCAAATGAAGCAGAAGAGAATGACCTTAAAAACAACTTCATGAAAGTGATAGAGGCCCCAAAAGAGGATATAGGAAAATCCCTCAAAGAAATGGAAGAAAAAACAAACCAAAAAATGCAAGAAGTGGAAGAAAAAACAAACCAAAAAATGCAAGAAATGGAAGAAAAAGCAAACCAAAAAATGAAAGAAATGGAAGAAAAAACAAACCAAAAAATGAAAGAAATGGAAAAAAAAAACAAACAAAAAAATCCATAAAATGCAACAAATGGATGAAAAGATAAACCAAAAATTACAAGAAACAATTCAAACAGTGCAAGGGTTGAAAACTAAAATAGAGACAACAACAACAACAAAAAAAGCACAATCTGAAGGAAGGCCGGAAATACAAAAGCTGGGCAAATGGTCAGGTACTACAGATACAAGCATTACCAACAGAATACAAGAGATGGAAGAGAGAATCTCAGGTGTTAAAGATACACTAGTAAAAATGGATTCATCAACCAAAGAAAAACTTAAACCCAACAAATCCCTAACACAAAACATCCAGGAAATATAGGACACCATGAAAAAAACAAATCTAAGAATAATAGGTATAGAAGAAGGTGAAGAAAACCACCTCAAAGGGGCAGAAAACATATTCAACAAAATCATAGAAGAAAACTTTCCCAACCTAAAGAAAGACATGCCAATGAAGGTACAAGAAGCTTACAGAACTCCAAAGCTTACAGACAACAAAGGTCCCCTTGCCACATAATAATCAAGACCCCAAATATACAGAATAAATAAAGAATATTAAGTAGCATATAAAGGCAAACCTATCAGAATTACACCTGACTTCTCCA